TATCCCACTGCTGGTGTTGCTGGTGAAGACCAGGTGGTTCTTCCCTTCTGGAGCCCGATCCCACCAAGCAGACGTGACCACAGTGCTGGACCATCCAAACCCAATCTGTGCTATCTGGTGCCAGCACCATCACCACAAATGCTGGAAGACCCTGCAGATCCTTCTCATGTCACTGAGGATCTTCCTTGTGTCTTTGCCACAAACACTCATCCAACCCGCCGTGCCTGCCTGCGCAATTGCAATATTGCTTTGATTTTCTTGCTTAAATCAATGGCTCTCATCAGCCACGACTTTCTCTCTTCTGTGTTTCCCATTCCAAACCTACAGCCACGCTGCCTCCAGATCTGTGACTTGATGAATCTCCTGTTCTGGCTAAACAAAGCAATTCATAATCTTTTCCAACAGGATATGAGAGCACAAGTGGTACATCTCCAGGCTTCTGGAATACTCTCCTCAGCAAATTCCTTTAGTCCCTTGGAAGGAAGGGACAAAAACTAGCCCTGCTGCTGTTGAGACCTCAGACCCTAAGGCCAGGCTCTGTTTCCTCTGCAGGAGACATCCAGCCTCCCCAGGGAGGCCAGAGCTCCCTGCTCCTGTTCACTGCTCCCTGTGTGCTCCCAACACCTTCACCCCGGGATGCTTTCGAGCCTTCTCACACTGTGAGAGCCCACAGTCTCCTCCTTACCTTCTCCCCTCTCCTACCCTCTTCCATTCCCTCCTTCTCCCTGCCCCAGTACAACACCCCATTTAAACCTCTCCCAGGGCTTTTAAATCTCTCTCTGGATCACCTCTGGCTGACATAAGTGAGAATAATTCTCTGTTGTCCTCCTGTTTCCTTTTCCATGCCAGGCAGTCTGCAGGCACGGAAAAAAAATCCTCCCCCTGCCTGCACTCGCAACACTTTCACACTGCTCCTCTGTGCTCTCCAGCTTCCAGCTGAAACCAGTCCAGCTCCTCTAAATCAAAAGATATTTATAAAGCTCTTCTCCTTGTCATCTTTCTGGGGATCCCAAAATCAATTAAAATAGTTAAAAACCACGAATGAGACAGTAAAGGCAAAGAAGCCAAAATATCCCAGGCTCTGTAAACAGAGAATTCTTGTGAAACAATCCTTTTCCAGTGCTTGTCTGGGAGCAGAAAATGGACATAGAATCATAGCATCATTAAGGCTGGAAAAGACCTCCAAGATCATCAAGCCCAACATGAGCTTAAATCACATGGTTGGGGCTCTGGACTGGGGGGCACTGATGGGGTCCTTGGCCATGTGTGGGTATCAAAAGGACCAAACACCTTCTCCACCTTTTAAACCCATTTTAGTCCTTTAGGCTGCGAGGTTCTTGGTGTTCCCAGGGCCACCAGGTGCTGGCATCCACCTGAAGGTTGGGTTCATCCTGCATTTGCTGAGCAGCACAGCTGCAAGCCCCCCAAACCCCTGTGCCAGCCAGCACAACCCTGGGAGCTCTGTGAACATCCAAGCGGGGGGGATGTCCCTGCTCATCAGAGAAATCACAGAACCGCGGAATGTTTTGTGTGGGAAGGGAGCTTAAAGTCCATCCTGTTCCCTTAGAGCCCCTTGCCATGGACAGGGACACCTTCCACTGTCCCAGGTTGCTCCAAGCCCTGTCCAACCTGGCCTTGAACACTTCCAGGGGTGGAGCAGCCACAGCTTCTCTGGGCAGCCTGTGCCAGGGCTTCAGAACCTTCACAGGGAAGAATTTCTCCCCAGTATCCCATCCAAATATCTCATCATCACCCCCATCTCCACCAATGCTATGGGGTTATGGGGATGCTCCAGGTTTCAGAGCTCAGCAGCCCCAAAACCTCCCAGTCCCAGAACCTGAAGGCCTTTTGCTATCTGCTTTGTCTCTTCCAGGGGATCAGGGTGGAGGCAGTGGGCAGAGGGCTCTGCAGCCCTGCACTGGAAGCGAAAGCCGTGGCTGGGCTCATTCCAGGTGTGAGGCACGGCCAGCAGCAATCGCGGTGCGGCCGGGCCAGGCGGAGCCCGGCAGTATCAGCGCAGAGCCAGCCCGTTTGGTGCCACTGCCACAGCCACTAAACACCCACGTGTGACTGGGAGTGACCCCACAGCACCTCACGGAACTGTCACAGCCAGGCTCCAGAGGGAGCAGCTGGAACCGCATGGATCCAAGGCCACGGCCACATCCACAGGGAATTGATTCCTGAAGTGCAGCTGTTCTGTTTCTGCATCCTGAGCAGCATCCCCATGACTCCAACCCCATCTCACTCTTCAGACTCCCGTAGAATCCCTCAAACTGTCTCTTTCCAGCAGCACCTCTCCCTGCCTGATGCACATCCCTGGCACCGTTGTGTTCCCACGTCTCCAAATGTCAGAGGCAATGGGTCCAGGTCTGGAAAACACCCTGAGAGAGATGGGGCCTGGTGCAGGGGCTGGTGCTCCCTGTCACAGGGATCACAGAGGGGAAAGATGGTTTACATGGAAACATGATTTGTTATTTTGGCCCCAGCCCTGCAAAAGACACCCTGCATATGATCCCATCACATGGGCTTTGGGGATTAAATATGAGCTTTGTGATGAAGTCTTCCAAGTGTCAACCATGTCCTTCCAGGCCTGTTAAAAGCAGGGAAATTTGTGTGCTGGAAATACCCATCAGGAACTGCCATTGCCTGTATAAGGATGCTGTGTCTGACGGCTTTGGGGAAGGGGATGCCCGCAGATTCCCATAAACCTTGGGGCTGGATGAGGCTTTTTTATAAACCATCATTCACAGCACAAGAAGCATTGCTTCTTGTACAAGTAAGAGCTACAGAGCCTTTGTAGCTCAGATGTTGACCGTGCCTTGCCCTCAGATGACCATTCCCTCCAAAATTCCCCAAACCTGGAAATTCCACCGTGACACTTTGACATCCTCCTCATTTTTAGGGGCAGAGGAGACTGCCACTGCACACAGGCTAATGCTGTCTGATTCTGAAGCTGTTATTTTGTTAATTTATATGTTTTTAGTGTAAATGTCACAGTACAGGAAGACTCAATAGGTCAGGAAAGGATGGGGGATCCTGTTGCCTGTCAATTTATACATTTGCTCTTAAAAGCAAGAACATTTCTCTGAGGGATGGGTGTCCTGACTGCCCTCCATCCCAGATGGGGCACATCATCCCTCTGACACCAACATGTTTGGGTAGAGCTCAAACTGAGCATGTTTGGATAGAGCTCAAACTGTTCCTTCATGTGCTTGCACAGTGCCACTGCCAGACTGTTGACTTTTTAAACCAGAAACAATTTTTAAACTACAAGTTTTGAGAGAAAAAGTTTAAAAATAATTTCTTCAGGCAATGGTTTTCCTGCCACTAGTAAAGTGACACCCCTGACTGATCTGCCCTTGGCCAGATGCCCCTGAAAGGTCCCATCCAAGTGTCCTGTGGCATGTGGGGTGCTGAGCACCCAGCCTGACTCTGGGTCACCCACATCCCACACCCTGTGGCTGCCTATGGGGTGTACAAATGGAGTAGCATTTATTTGTTGGGGCTTTTGGTTTTTAATCTGAAAGTTTCACATCTTGCAAGAGGCTTTGGCAATGTTTTTTCACTCCAGGCTGTTTTTGCTTGCTTCCAGTTTCCAGGAAAGGGCATGAACTGCAAAAAGGGCTCTGGCTTTGGGTGATTTTACTCACCCCAAGTCAGGCTCGCTACTGCAGCAGCCTGAAGGGGTCTGGGGGCACATCTTGCACCTCCAGCAGAACAGGGGACAGGTTAGCAGTCCCCTCCAGAGGAACATCAGTGCAGCCCAGAGGCAGTCCCAAATCACCCGGGGTAATCTCAAGCTCTTTCTCCTGGAGCCCACAGCCAAAAAGTGTCATCAGTCACCTGCTGGAATAGCCCAGCCCGGGCAGTGGGGACCTTCGTGGGTGTGGGACTGGCAGATATCGTCTGGGATGATGCCTCCAGCCCTGGGAGCTCTCAGGAGGAGCAGCAGCTTGGGAACAGCCCCGTGGCACTCCAGCACAGCCCAGGCAGGAGCGGGAACGCCGTCCTTCACGCAGGGTGAGGGCAGCTCGATGGCAAACAAACCCCAATCCCATCCCGAGCACGACACCGTATCCACGGCCGCACATCCTGAAAAGCCTGGGCTGGGAAGCGCTGACACAGCTCAGCACACACACTGGGATTCAGGAACAGCGGTGGGAAGAGGCTGGAGCGGCACGGGGGGGTCCTGCCCGCGGTGGCCCCTGGCTCATCCCCGGAGCTGCTGTTCCCAAAAACTGCACTTGGCCGCTCCAGGTGCCGATGGCTGGAGGCATGGAAATCCCTCCTTTCCAGGGACACCCGGCTGGATGTCTCGAGCACAGGAACCAGCACGTGCAGCAGCCCCGGTGCACATCCCAAAACTGGCCAAAGAGCGGGGGGAAAAATACAGGTGAGGGGTGGTGTAAAGCCGGGATGGTTGGCAGGGTGTGAAACGTGACACATAGCCGGGGTGAGCCGTGTGTTCTCACGCAGGCAGCGAGCTCAGGAGCCTGGAGCTCAGGCAGGGGCTGGCTCTCAGGTGACAGCAGGTGAGGAGCTGGGCAGCCAGCACTGGAAAACCCACCTCAGTCAACAGAACTATTGTATCTGTCACTCAAAAAACTCTGCTCACCCAAATTTTTAAAGCAAACCCGTGTTACTCTAGGGCAGTGTTTTCTTTTCACACCAGGATGTGGTTAATCATTCCCCAGGCAGCGGCACACCGTGTACCAGACGCCGTGGGGAAGCTCACGGAGAGCTGCTCCATGGGGTGAAATCCCCACGGTGCCGTGCAGGGCATCACTCGGAACCCACAGAGCCCCCCGGCCCTGCCACCGAGCAGGCCAGGACTCCCCTGGACTGCCCCAGGAGCTGATGTTCGGGTTCTGCATCATCAAACACCCTTCGTTTCACCCGCGGTGCGCACGAGGGACGCGGGGATGCGCGGGCAGAGCCGGGGTCCCTCTCCAGGCAGGAATCCCCCTCCTTCCCCGCCAGCATCCCTGCCCCATCCTTACTTTGATGTTGCAGAAGATACTCCTGGAGCAGGTGCCGGAGCTCTTGGGGATGTCAACGGGGGATTTGCCAACCTCGGGGTGGACTCCCATCGCCACGGCTTCCCGGGGAGCCCGGAATTGTCGGGTTACGCGTGGGTTTCCTCCGCCGCCCGGCCCGTCCCGCAGCCCCGCCGTGCGCACGGGCTGTGCCGAAATCCCTCCAAGGCTGCGAGTGAGCCAGGCAGCGGGAGCGTCAAGTTCTTATAAGTCGGCTCCCGGGAGCGATGATGAAACGTTTTCTCCTCCCTCTTTTGCTTTGTGCACCGAGGGAACTTTAAAGTCGCAGGAAGCGAAGGCAGCGCGCCTGGAGCAGGTGGGGGCGAGGCCTCGGCCAGCCCGGGCTTTCGGGGCTGTGGTGATGGAACAATGCTAAAGCCAGCTTGGGGACAGCCAGCGCCTCTGTGCTCGTGTGCCAGGCTGCAGGACAAGGAAACGGAGCTGGCAGCAGAGATTTCCCGCAGGGAAAACCACCGGGATTTTAATTCGAAGGTCCCCTGAGGGGGCGAGAGGAAGGGGAGGCACCATTCAGCAGCTGAGGTTCGGCTTCCAGGAGGTGGGAGGGGGAAGCCGGGTGGCCAGGTGGAGAAATCCTTCCCTGGGCCGAGGGGTTTTGAAGGGAAGAAAAACTTCGGTGTTTAGAAAAAGCTGCATTTGTGAAGCTCCTGAGCACTGTTTTGGTTTTTTTTAACCAACACCTCTCGGGGCTTTGTTTATGCAAAGCACTGATTTATTTTGCAAGCGGGAAACGCGTCAGAAGGAGAAGGGCAGGTCGATCCAGCCGGAGGAGAAACCAGCTTCAAGCGTTTGGTGCACATTATCGCTTTCCCTGCTGAGAGCAGTGGGGAGAGCGGGGGGATCCCACGCGGAACAGTGGGGCGCACCCTGGGCGCTCCTGGGGCTGCAGAAATAAATCCCAGCTCCCGGGATGGTTTTCCCTGTGGGGGCTGGCGGGTCCCTGGGGTGGTGCCAAGGACCGAGGCTCTCCCAGAGGCACCCAGGTCCCGCCGGGGCCCGGCCGTGGGCGCTCACCACGAGAGGGTGCCAGGAACCCGTGCGAAGCGGCTGCCCGGGCACTGCCATCCTCCTCCCGACACCAGCTGGGGACCCTGGGCATCTCACCCTGCCCTGGGCAGCCCGGCAGTCACCGCTGCTAAGACAAAAAGAGCACGTCTTGGCTGTCAGCTTCCCAGTTTCTGAACCCCAGGACGGGTGGGTATCACTGGCTCTGGGGTGGCAAAAGAAGCATCTTTGTTTGCCAGCTTTCTTTTCTCACTCCCATCCTCAGATTTGCCAGATCTGGGGCCAGGACATGGCGTGAAGGGACCCTTTATTCCCCATCAGAGTTAGCCAAGCTCTTTTACCCAGCATTCTATGGCAAGACGTGGAAGTTTCAACCTTACCAAGAGAAAAGCTGAAGCAAATCAACACATCTGCTCCTCTCCCATCCTCTCCAGGAGCCCAGCGTGCCACTGACCTAATTGTTCAGGCCGTGCCTGACCCATTCCCTGCTCCATTCATTTTGCAGCAGCTGTGACACTCACTTTGTCATAACAACCTTTTCATGTAGCAGCTGTTCCAGCCACTGACTCCAGCTTGTCCCCACAGATTTGTCTCCATACATCAAAACATAGCAGGGAAGGTGCCTGGTGGGTCTGAGCCCGTCTTGGCAGCAGGGAAACACACCCCTGCTCTGATGCCCCGTGCCATGAAAGGGGTTGGGCACCCCACAAGGGAAGGCAAAAGGCTCTGGTGGTTCAAAAGGGAATCGGGACCCTCTGTGTCTGCCTCTGGTGAACACCTCTGGGGGCTGGATATCACTACCCCGCTGGAGTTGTTTAGATTGGAAAAGCTCTCTAAGACCAGCTGTTCCCCCAGCACTGCCAAGTTCAGCTCTAGCCCATGTCTCCAAGTGCCACATTCACACACCTCTGTTAAATCCCTGCAGGAATGGGGCTGTGGTCTTAGCAGCCCCTTCCAACACCTGACCATCCCTTCTGGGAAGGAATTTTCCCAATATCCAACATGAACAACTCGAGACTGTTCCTTCTCCTCCTGTCCCTGTTCCCTGGGAGCAGAGCCCAACCCTCACCTCGCTGCCCCCTCCTGTCAGGGAGTTGTGCAGAGCCAGAAGCCCCCCACCCTGAGACTCCTTTTCTCCAGGCTGAGCCCCTTTCCCAGCTCCCTCAGCCTCTCCTGGTGCTTCAGACTCTCCATGGATGCAGGTTCTCGGTGGGAGCTGACCACACACCGCACTCAGTGGCCGGAGCAGCCTCAGATGTGTTTGGCAGCACAGGAGCTGTTCCCCCAGGCACCAGTGTCCTCCTCAGCTCTGGCCACCCCCAGCCAGCCCCTGCTGGGTCTCAGGCATGGAGAGGTGCCCCAGCAGGGCCGATTTGCTGGAGGGCAGGGAGAAGTGATGCTGGTAAACCACGCTGCCGTTGTATTTCTCAATGTGCAGCTCTTGCAATAGGTAAGGCAAGAAAACAGCTGGTTCATGCCCAGCCATGAACCATGGACTGCACTGGGACTCCTCAGGGGCTGCACACCACATCCTGGGAGAGCTCCCAGTGAACCTTTTTCCAGAGCAGGGAGCATGGCCCTCCATGGGTTTGTCCATGGAGTCCATGGGATCTGTTTAAGCTGCCTTGTCAGCTTAAATAGCCACAGAAACACAGTGAAAGCTGACAATCTGAATTTAAAGCCCAGTAATCTCTGACCATCGGGGAGCACTGCTGACATCTCCCAAGCTTTTATCCTGCTGGAAGAGAAACTCCAGCCCTTGGACACACATTCATCTCCAGCTTTCTTACACCAACACTGCTTTTAAATCCTGGGCTTCAGATTGTGCAACAGGAGTTAACAGAATGAGCTGCACATGAGAAAACGGAGGTCTCTTGCCTCTTTTTGAGGATCCTCTACTGCATTTCTCAGCAAGGAGCAGCTCATCCTGAAGACAAGTGCACAGGAGGGAAATGATTTAGGGTGGTGCTGACAAGGGGAGGAGAGTTGGGTTTCACATTCTCCTCATCATGTTTGGTCAGGGCGGTAGGGTTGATGTTAAAGTGCCTGGCAGGAGAGATCCCACATCGTCAGGGTTTGGTTCTTTTTACAGAGTTTCCGGGCTGTGCTTCGTCCTCAGCCCTTGAAATGAGCTCCTCCTCCAGCGGTCACACTCCCCTGGCCAAGGAATCAGCGGGAAGGAGAATCCCTCTGCCACTGGTGAGAGGGAATCAGCCACTTCAGTCAGCAAGGCTCTCCAGCAGCTCACCCTCTAAGCCAGCCCTTTCCCTCATCCAGAACAAGCCACCATGGTGGAATGGTTTGTCTCCATATGAAACGTGCCCACCTTGCACCTTTCCAATGGCCAGAGCAAACTTTCAGTGGTGCAGCAGTGCAGGAATTGAGACAAGTCTCTCTCTCTGGGGTGCTCACCTTACTCACAGAGCATCAGAACCCTCAGAAGCCACTTTCCTTCTGCTGGGGAGGTGATTTGGGTCAAACAGCTTCAACATGACCACGAGTAAAGAGAAGACTCTTTTCCCACATCCCCCTCCTCAATTCTTTCCACTGAGTGCTGGGCTGATGCTTTCCTGGGCTGAGCACAAGGCTCACTCTGCTTCACCACCCACCCCCAGCCTGGCAGGGACTGAAGCACCTCACTTTTGCTCCATGGTATCTCCAACCTGTCCTGCTCAATTATTTGTTTCCAACTGGGCTTTAAAAGCACAGAAATCATGGAAAGGTTTGGGTAGGAAGGACCTTAAAACTCATCCTTTTCCACCTCCTGCCATGGACAGGGACACCTTCCACTATTCCCAGATTGCTCCAAGCCCCATCCAACCTGGACTTGGACACTTCCAGGGATCCAGGGGCAGCCACAGCTTCTCTGAACATTAAACTTGGAAATGATTTTCTTTAGCTGTTCTGCTGCCTCTAGAAGACCTCAGAGTGCTCTGACAGCCACCACTGAATGGAAGCTGATTTGCTGGGGAAGCAAACGTGAAGCCTGTGGGCTCCCAGGGGGTCTCAGAATTGCAAGTACAAACATTGTGCTGGGAATGTGGATTCAGAACCCTCTCTGTGTTACCAGAGCCGGTCCCTGGGGTGCAGAGCAGCACACCAACCCCACCCCTGGAGCCCCCATTTATTCTCCAGGGCTGGTGGTGTGGCACAGGAAGGGGAACAAGGACCGGAGTGGCATCAGTGGTTCCTGCCAGTGCCTGTGGTTGGGAGTTACAGAGCTGGGTTTGATCTGCCAGCACTGCGGATTTGGAGCAGGAATACTGCTCAGGGGAAGCACACAGCCTGAGGAACAGGCTTGGCTGGCTCACAGCCTGTCCTGGGCAGGTGATTCACCAGCACCCCCGGGGGAGGGGACACTGCTGTCCCCTCGGTGGAGAGACCCACAGGGGATTTGCTTTTGGGACAAGCAACAGAGCCCCAGAGCAGGAGGTGACAGTGCCTGTTCTCCATCCAAGGCCACTGCCAGCCCTGCAGGGCAGCCAGAGCTACACCCAGGATTAGGAGTGAAGTCTAGGTGGGATGGAGGGCAGGGAGCTCCTCCGGGAGGTGACGGCAGAGCTGCGTGTCAGGGTTAAACCTTCTGTCCCATGATGCTGACTAATAAATACGTCAAGCAACTCCATTCCATATCCAAACCCAGGCAATCAAACCTCTTGCAGAGCAGCAGCAGAAGCAAGCTGCATTCTAGAGGAATAAATGGGAAGGCAGGTTTTCCCAGGCTGTCACTGCAGGGTGCCTGTGGAGCCTGGAAACTGGGAGGCCGCGATTTTGGGAGGCTGAGGCTTTAGGAAGAGCAGAGAGGAAAGCAGGAATTCCTCCACTTTTAAGAGCTGACAGGGGAATGGAGGAAATGCTTTCAAATGAGCCCTGGTGGTTCTTTGTGTCTCTCCAAACAGCCACTTTCCTCTGCCTTTTCTGTTTCAAGTCTCTCTTTATTCTGAGAACATTTGAGTTTCACCTTCAGGTAAGTCAATGCCATGGTACACCAGAGGCTCCCCAGTTAAATTTGAGATGGCCTGAGGGGTGGATTATGTTGGTGGGAGAACCAGCTCTCCATTCTCACTGACACCTTTCCCACCTCTCCTTTCTCCCCAAGAGCGTTTGGAGATGCCAGCCCCAAGGTGTCACGAGTGGGGCCTTTAGCTCAGGACATTCCAGAGGAGAAACTCTTCTGGCTGGTTAGAAGAGGAGGTGGCAGATTGGAATTAA